TTTGACCCAACCCCCCTGTCCAGTCCAGGTATTTGACCCAACCCCCTGTCCAGTCCAACCTCTTCCGCCCCCCATTCTCCTTTATTTTTTGGAATAGCCCATTACGGGTATCCTCCATACACAACCATCTGTTACCAAGCTGCAGGTGGTTGCTACATTGTGATTGGTTGCCCTTTCTACGGTGGGAACCAATCATGAGTATTGTTAAACGTATCTTGTCTGTTAATTCAGAAACCACATCTGATTGGCTAATGTTGACCTGCGACCTGCGCGCGCGCTTTGCATGTGATTTGAACGAGACAGGCCAGTTTGGTTGAAGTTTCTAAAACATTTTTTATTATTTATTGCAGATATTCAACTTCTCAGGATGGACGTGGTTCTGTGCCAAGGACACGGTAAGGCATGGTTTATAGCAATATTGTCTCACGGCATCGTTTATTCTTTTAGTACGTTCATGGAGTTATTTTCTAACAAAAGCCGACGCACCCAACGTGAATAAGGGGGAGGGGGGCACGCATACACTCTGCTGGAGCCTCTATTTTCTACCACTATTATGGGCGTAGATGACGTAAGAATTCGTATTCCTCGGCAATGCGGACTGGGCTCCTCTGTATGTATGAAAAACGTGGTATCGACCCTTCCCCAAACAGTACGTCAGCAAATTATGTCAACTCAATGATTTTGTTGTCGCCCGATGAACATCTGACAGCCATGCAAAAAATGATATAGCAGGACTGACACTTACCAGTTGAAATGCGGCTAACGGGAACACCAGGGCCTTCTTGTAGCCGCCTCGGGCTCCATCTGTTTCCGACGCACCGAGTCATGAGACCTGAGCGCGCGGGGGGCATGACCCTGGCGTGCAACTCACCGATATGGACATGGCCGATACATGACGCACATGTAAACAACATAAGGGTTGACTCAAAATGTTTGTAACCTCCGTATGGCAGACCCAGCTTACATCTGTATGGGCATGGTGTGCACATGCTGGGCTGGTGACCCATCATGTGCAGGGACCATGATCATTCATGGCTAGTTAGTGACATGACATTTGTGTTGGGGTTTTGTACCTACCCACCCTGTGAAAGATTTAACTTGGAAACAAACTGTGCACGTGCCGGACAGGTGACCTGTGCACCTGTAAGGACTAATGCTGTGTACGGGAGTATGTAAACAACAGACCTGCTCACTTATGCATGTAGTAAAGGTTACTACACATAGTACATACAATGTAAGTTGAAACTTTAACCCTCTCAGTCTGAAATGTCTTGTCCAAAATACCCAGAGGTATCAAACAAAACTATCCTGCCCTGCGTAATCTGTTGACTGTTACAGCATAAACATAAGCACATTGCAGAGGATATGTTAAAAATATATGATAAATAATTCATGCATTATTCTGTTCATAATAAAAACATATAGCTCATGTCAAGATATAGCTATTTTCATAGCTTTTCATCCTACATGACTCCCTCATTCCAGGCAAGCCATGTATGCTGAAGACTGGCCTCAGGGAGGGTCCAAATAAGGGGAAGAGTTTCTACATCTGTTCTCAGATGCCCCAGTCATGTGGTTTCAACACACCTGCCAGGTGAGTCAGGGGCATATTGTAAGTTTTTACCTTTGGATAGTAAGGAGGTCTAGAGTGAGTATAGAGTAATAATACATTTGTTGCATTTGAAGAAAGCAGTTTAAGGAACAGGAAAGGGTCTGGGTTTTTGTTTAAACTAGTACCGTATCCTCAGTTGTAGAATATGCACAATCCTTTTTATTCACTGAGAGTGATGAAGAGCGGGTGAAATCATACTGCAATGTTGTTCCCTACAATACTTAATTGGAATTACAGCATGTCAATTTTGGAATCATATGTCAATTTTTTGCTAAGTTCGTATTTGTAATTAGTACTAGTAAGTACATGTACAATGAATCATGTAGATTGGCTGGAGGTGATTGTGACAAATGTATGTCTTCCCTTCCTTGTTATTCCCCAGCCTCCCTCCCTCTGGTTGCCTGAAGCATGCTGGGAAGACCATAGAGCTCCAGAAGATTTGGAGAGACAAGGAGAACCAGAAGTGGTGAGAAATGTGCAGCTATTGTCTTTTATTTTTCTTCAGCATCTAATATGGCATTCTTTGGTCAAAATTGATCATGGTAAGATTCTGATTAATTCTTTAACATAATTCTATAGAATCAACATTAAATTTGTGATTTTTATGACATGATATCTTCATATAAGTTTCTGCTTTTTCCTACAGGTTGTGTTATAGATGTCAGGTTACAAAGGATGCCACCAAGGGAAAAGGTTGGTGTGGAAAAATTCTTTACACAGGCGCAGCAGACAGGAGAGCCACCAAGACCGACCATGTTGACTCCAAGAAGCAGTGGCGACTGGTTCCTCCAGAAACAACGTCAGACAGTGATTCATCTGATTCTGAAGAATACGAGGATGCTGCTCCATACCAGCCTTCAAAAAATCCATTCTGCAAAGAAGCTAACAAAGAGGGACAGGTGGTTGCATCGTCTGGAAAGAAGTTTGATGTCTTCGACAAAAAAGTGGAAAAAGAGAACTTGATGCAACATGTGGATGACAACAAGATCTATGATAGTGATAAACAAGTTGACCCTGGCAGGGATAAGTCTCTGAGGGGGGCTGCTGTCAGGGATGATGGATCAAAGTCTCAGAGAGGAGAAGGAGGGAAAACACTTCCTGCAGAACATAACCAAAAATCACAGAAAGGTGATACGGAGGCTAGTGGTAAAGATGTGAAGACAGGCAAAAAGGCAGGTGAGACAGTGAAGGGCATAGGCAGCTCAAAACAACCTCAAGGCAAAGAGGATGAAGTTATTGTACTTACTGACAATGATGAAGATGCTCATGTTAGAAATACACAAAGTGCCAACACACAGGTAAAACACGGTGAAATGCAGAAGCAGCCAGTCAAGGCTGAAGCTGTAAAACCAAAACAGTCAGTCCAAGATGGGAACGTGACCAATCAGCCAATCACAGCAGGTCATAAGAAGCAACAGCCAATCACAGCCTTCCCAGGGTTCCAGCCAGCAAGCCAGGTGATGTCCAGAGGTCATGCAGCGTTGCGGGCAGATCTGGTGGAGCAGTTACGGAAGAAGGAAGTAAGCAAATCACACAGTGGAAACTAGAGATAGCATGCGGGAGTACAAACCTCTGCAAATGAGACTTAGCTAAACTATAAGCATCTAAAGGTGTAAGAAAAAAGGATAAGGGGAGAGAATTTTATTGTGCCTTTCAGGTGTGGAACTGGGGTTTTGTGTATCATAAGATTGACAGCCCAAAAGTGGCCAAAAGGTCAGCAAAGGTGAAGGTCACAGAATCTGGACGGGAGCCAACATTAATTAGTGGTCGACGTGGGGGAATTCAGGAAGCTGACGTTGCAAAATTCCCAGATTCCTAATTTCTTTCTTTTTTCCTCAGGACTTGGTGAAGAAGGTCCAGCTGTCTGTCCTTCCTGACGGAGGGAAGAAGCTGATGACACAGATTGAGGACCTTGAGAAAGCTATCAAATCCATTGATCTTGGTGCCAATCAAAGTCAACCTCAAGGTGAGTTCATGTTCATACTTACATATCTGTGTGGAGGAAGGGATGTGTACAAATCTGTATGTGTACATGAATGAAGTGTACAATTTGACAACCGTTGAACAAATTAAGTCTGGTCAAAGAGAAGCTCCTTGGTCTGAGCTACATCTACAAGTTTTATCATCCAAGACAAGCTGAAATAGCTTTGGGCATTCATCAGTGATGTGATCTGTTTTCACAGGTGCTTCGGGAGGCCATGGTCGGCAGCAGCAGCCCAGTAAGCACCAACCCCAGGGGGACAGGCGGGTCCTCCCCACCCACGCACAGCCCCTCCCTGCCCACGTCCTACAGCAGATGTATGCCCCCCACCCCCAGGGGCAGACCCTGTATGGGGGCAGGATGACGGCCACGAGGCTGCAGCAGGTGGCAGGAGTAACATCTGAGGCTATTGAGAGGCTGCACAAGTAAGACATCATCCCCTGCGCCAGGGTGACTGTGGGTGCGATTATCGCATTCATCATATAGGTTGCTGCATGAATTTGATGCCTTCGAATTTTCAGACTCTGACAGAACTAACTGCCAACAAGGATCTCAGACTGCCGTTTTCATAATAGAATAGCTTGGCCCACAAAGTTTAGCTGCTATGCTGACATTAGACAAAGTTAAATTTACTTTATTTCTCAATGTTGCAGGTCCCTGGAATCCTGTCCACCCCCAGATGCTGAAGTGGAAGATCCGGCCTGCCTGCGTGTAAGCCTGCTGACCCATCAGCGCCAGGCTCTGGCCTGGCTCACCTGGAGGGAGGGGCAGCATCCCTCAGGAGGGATTCTGGGTCAGTAAAGATGGCAGACGTCTTCCAAGAATATTTGTATGTTAAAACAGCTCTTAGCTTAGTGGTCTCAAATGTTCTAAAACTCACAAAGACTTGTTCTTCACAGCTGATGACATGGGGTTGGGGAAAACGTTGACGATGATCTCCCTCATCCTGACTCAGAGGCAGAACACTGGTGCACGGAACAAGACAAAAGGTACAGTTGATGGTCTCTGATACCTGTATACCTTATTAATAGTGAAAAATTTATTTTTGTTGTAGTTGAGATTGTGTTTTATCATCTTCCACAGCTGAAAATGCACATGTTAAAAATTCAAATCCTATTATTGCCATCTTACAGAACATGAATAGGAATTAATAAAGAAGTGATATTTTTCAACTTTAAAAAATGTCTAACCAAAAACAGTTTTTCAAAACTCTTGTATAAAATCAAGTTTGTATGAGTGTCACCAATGCTGTTATTGTACCTGTCCTAAAGTACCAGTTCCAGAAGGTGTTGTGAAGTCGGATGCGACCCTGGTGGTGTGTCCAGCCTCACTGATTCTCCACTGGAAGGCTGAGGTGGAGCGGCACACAGAGGACGACACCCTGAAGGTGTACCTGTACCATGGACAAAACAGGACAAAGGACCATACAGAGTATGTAATTACCATGGCAACAGTAATGTATCCTGGATACCATGTTTGCTGCTTGGTTACAACCTTTACATATTTGAAGCAAGTCAGTCATACCTGTACAACTGGCACCTTTTTGGTGGTCCTTTAGATGATTTTTCCCATTGACACGACCAATAAAAATCCTGTTTATAGTGACTGCCTGTTCACACAGACCAGATTTTATAAGTCTTCCTCTTTGGCAGTTTTGATTGTATATTTCCATGGTATCAAAAGTAAAGAGAAATCTTTCTGTTGGCTGAAACTTTGTTCTTTTCCATTGCAGGCTTGCGGAGTATGACCTTGTACTCAGCACCTATGAGCTTGTGCGGAAGGAATGTTCCAGCTGGGCTGCTGACCAGCCTACACAGGACCAGAAGAAAGGAGACAATCAGGTACGAGAATTATGAGAAAGTGGTGTAATATCGAAATAATTACAACCCCTCCACAGTTCTGATACATTCACGAAAATACAAACTGCCTTCCCAGTGATTTGACTTCCCTGATTTCATGTTGTGACCAGGATGACACTGCCGCGCCCCGGGGTCCCATGCCCGTACTCCTGCGAGTGATCTGGGACAGGATCATACTGGACGAGGCTCACGCCATCAAGAACCACAAGTCGCAGACGTCTGTCGCTGCCTGCCAGCTGCGGGCACACAGCCGCTGGGCCATGACGGGAACACCCATCCAGAACGACCTGATGGACATGTACCCACTGCTGCGCTTCATGCGCTGTTCACCCTTCGATGAGATGAAAGTGTGGAAAAAATGGGTGGATAACAAGACAGGTGAGGAACGGAATGCTTGACCACGGATTTCACAAACAATTGTCAACTGAATTTAAATGTAATCAAATTGAGTCAGTGGTTAGCAACCCTACATCTGGACCAAAAGGTTGAGAGTTGAATCCCGGCTATTGTAAATAACCCAACATGCACCATACTTAAGGTGTTGTACTCCTTACTGTAGGATTGGACTTGAAGCTATGGTCCACAGTTCATTGTACTTGTCGAAAAGAGTTTGGGGAATTTCTCAGGTGCCAATAAATAATTTCTGTCTTCTAGTGGAAGATAAGCTCTTAAGCGAGATAGTTTTCACTTTTTATGTAACGTAACTTTTAAACTGAATTTATCTGTGGTTGAATGAATGTTAAGTGTTATTGAAAGGTTTTATTTCTTGCTGTTGCCCAGCCAATGGGAAGGCCCGTCTGAACACGCTGGTGAACAGCCTGCTGCTGCGGAGAACAAAGGGACAGGAGGGGCGGGACGGTCGCCCGCTGGTCAGCCTTCCACAATGCAGCAGGGTCAGTCATGTGATCGAGCTGTCTGATGACGAGAGGGCTGTGTACGACAAGTTCTACCAGGATACCAGGTGGGTTGTCATGGTGGGGGAGAGTTTCGGATTGTCATATTATTTCAGTAATCTCCCATGACATGAACAGAACATTTTTTTCTGCACCTGTTGCAGTTCCATTTAAAAAGTGACCTGCAACTGTGATATCAATATTTCATTAAAGATTATTATACGTGTGTCACAAATTTCCTAGCTGACAGTGTTGTTAATGTAGCTGTAATGTGTTTGATATTGACAGTAGATATTTGGGATGTTAGGACATTGGGACAGCTGTTCACGCAGTGTTCATTATATTTATGATATATCACCTATCTCAAGTCATTTGATGTCACTGTGAACTTAATGCAGTATAATACACTTCTCGGAGGTTTGTAATCTCAGATTTCTTGTTTGTGTTGCTTTCAGAAAAACTTTCCAGAATTATCTCCTGCAGCATGGAGAGAAGGAGAACGTGAAGGACAGGGTCCTCCCATCATCAGTTGGTACGGTCCAAACTGTTCCTGTGGGGGATCATAATAAGAGTGCAGCAGGACAGCATCAAAATGTTCCAGGAGTGCAGCAGAATGTGAAAGTGAGCCACATCCTGGTGCAGCTGCTGAGGCTGAGACAATGTTGCTGTCATCTGAGCCTCATGAAAGAGGTAAAGTGCAAATGCTCTCTTAGGAGTTTGTTGCTGATTGATGAAGAAAAGCTATTTACATTGTTCTGCTGGGGTCAGATTTGAATGTAGATATTTTAGGAAAGACAATATAAGAAAGATAGCTAGCACAAAAATATGTAATGAGGAAGCCTGGCCATTTTGCACAGCAGAGACCCATGTGTGTTGAAATCACCCTGTTACAATGAATCTGCATGTCTCTGTCTCAACCAGTGGAAGAGTAACTCAACTGTCTACTTAGTTTATTTGAGCATAACTGATTTCAAGGTCAACTTCCCTCTGTTCCCCTCCTGCAGGCTGTAGACCAGGAAACCTTTGTGAATGAGGGAATAGACCTGACTCTGGAGCAGCAGCTGAGGGAGATGAGCCTCCAGGATAACAACCAAGTAACCACACCTAGCAACACTGATGTAACCACACCTAGCAACACTGACCTACCCAGCAAAGATTCAGAGAAGTCCTCCATGTTTCACTGTGACAAACCAAGTACTAAGGTGATCATATGTCAGGGCATTAACTAGAAACCCCAGATCTGATACTATAATTAGGTAGCAAGATTTTGATGATTTTATTCATTGTAATGGATGTATGTACATCCAAGATGCCTTAAAAAGTATACATCTCTTTTTGTTATGAACAATTGAATTATGAATTCACACATTCACTCTTCACTCTCACTTTCAGTCATTTAATCATGAAATATTCACAGATACAAAAGGTTCTGGGGATCCTGGCAAACAACAAGTCAGAGTCAACACCTGAGAAGCCAGTGAAGAGGTCAGTCTTCTAGGCTTTCCCGTAATTTGTTGTGATGTGAGAATTTGTTTTAGGCAAATAATAGTTTGACCATTCATGATCGTATCAATAGTATCCAGGATATGATTTTGTGCAGCTTTCAGTGAACATTGAGCCATGTTGTCCAGGTTGTCCACAAGTTGTAGTATCACTATATACACATGTGGAATGTAATTATTCCTGTCTCCTCAGTGTGATTGTCTCTCAGTGGACCAAAATGCTGGACGTCATCGGGTGGCACCTAGAGCATGCTGGGTATAAGTATGTTGTGATCCGGGGTGGGGTTCCCCCCAGGCAGAGGATGGAAGCCATGGAACAGTTCAACAGGAACCCCAAGGGACCGGAGGTCACTTTTCACTCATGATTGTATCATTATGTTTGGTTTTCCATTCTGTATCCTGTGGTCATTCTCTCTTTTGTATTACAACTTTCTCATCCAAATTGTGTTTGTCAATGATTTTCATTGCATTAACTTTTATTTCATCTTCCCACAACACCATTTACATCTCATGATCCTTCTGACCTAAGATGCTGATGAAGGTTAGTTAGTGTATCTGTTCACCAGGTCCTGTTCTTCTCTCCAGGTCCTGCTGGTGTCATTACAAGCAGGAGGTGTTGGGCTCAACCTGATCGGCGGCAGTCATTTGTTCCTGCTGGACATGCACTGGTGAGAGACACAAGTTACATGATCATTTTACATTGGTGAGAGACCACCCATTCCAAACATTTTAGATTTATACACTGGTGAGAGACCCCCACATATTATTAACCTTAAGTATTCCTGTTGCCTAGGAACCCAGCCCTGGAGGACCAGGCCTCTGACAGGATCTACCGGGTGGGGCAGAAGAACAATGTGGTCATCCACAAGTCAGTACTGATTCACTCCTAGCATACTAGCATAGTTATACTGGCTGCTCTATTTTGAAAGTGCATGCAAGGTAATTTGGCAATTGACACTGTTGCCTACTCATAATATTTGAATTGAAGCACTATCAGTATTAAACAACAGTATCATTATCAAACACAATCATACATGATGATTAAATGTACCCTTTAAGGCACACAATGGATTTTCAAGCTATAACACAGAACCACTTTTGAGGTAATCTACCTTTTAGCCATACCTAGTTATGTCATCTCTATCATATCTATGCATGTCTTCCTGATATCTTTATATGTTACCCTAAGACAAAGCCTTTATGTACTTTACCTGTTTCAGGTTTGTGTGTAAGGACACAGTGGAAGAAAAAATCCAGGACCTCCAGAAGGCCAAGAAAAACCTGGCACAAGGAGTCTTGTCAGGGTAAGTACATTGTAGTTTAGCAGGCATTTCTCATAAATGTGCTCCCTGTGTCAAGTTAGTGTGTTGTTTAAATAACACCATATTTTATAAAGATTCATTAACAGTTTTTTCTGTGACATTACAGTGGTGACGTTGGAAAGCAGAAGCTGTCCTTGGCTGATCTGAGACAGCTGTTTGGATTGTAGTGACACATGCAAGGCTGGTGGACATATGACAATTTATATATTTATCTATTCTCACCTATTTATTCATCATGAAAATTATGGAAAAAAAGGATCTCCAATAGTCATAAGAACGTCTACATGTACTCAATGTAAAGAATATTAGGTTGTTGTATAGTTTGTAATACAAAGGCTCTTCCCACTGTCATTGAATTACTTACTGATAAAATTGTGAAATGATGTGAAACAGAATTATGTGAAAGAAGACTAATAATAAAATAAAAGTATTTGCATGAGGATAGCATGTTTTTGTTAGTGTCTAGATTTTCTGATGTGCCAAATGTCCAGCATAGTGGTGCAGCTATATACCGGTATGTGGCACCAGTTATTGTCCATTTTTGGTCATGTGTGCAAGTTTAAAAATCATGTAACTATGATCCAGGTTCTTCTTCATACAAAGTATGGCAATAAATATGATGTAAAAACAAGTTCTGTACAATTGACACTGCATTTTTTGGCCTGCATGTTTTTTACATCCCACAAACACTAGTACTGGGGTATCTTTTAGAGGAAGTTAACATCAAACTATGCTGTATTATCTAAATAACTGCTGTATTTTGCTTAGGTAGCAACTTCCATCACCAGATTCAGAGAGGTTTTCTTTTTATCTATGTTTAAAACTCTTTCATACTTACATTTTTGTAAGAATGGTCTTAAACTACTGAAGCAAGAAATAAGTTTGAGACTTTTTCCTCAAGTCCATCCAACTTTATTCCCACTTTCAGCTCAACAGTGCACCACAAGGGATTCTGGGAAAGGTCATGGTTGAAGGTTTGTCGTGCCGACAGAAATGACACAAACTACTCACATGACGGAATTTCAAAAATGAAATAATAAATACGTCACATTCAGAGAAACCATTTGGCCAACAGTCTTAGAGGCATCGCCACTTTTATTTTCTAAACTTGCGTTCACTCCTTCTTGGACCGTTACTTCATTTTGTCAACACTCTTTCATTATCACAATATACACATACATATCCATCAGCAAGCTTGACAGTTTAGCCAGTAGCACATCTTGTTCCAAATACGCTTTAAAAGGACAAAAATTTGTGAACCCTTCTTTGACCACCAGCATGAGCCACAACATCAACTCGGTCTTCACAATCTCCGTAATCTGTACCCTTACATTCTTTAATATCCAACTTCAAATATCTTCACACAGTCTTTTACAGCCCTATGTCATGACACATAACTGGGCAGGTTGGTCACGTGGTTATGCAAATGTGGAGGAGCGTTTTGAGGTGGTTCCAATGGAAATGTTCGTAAACAAAACCAGAAATGTGGGAAAGAAGCGGATGACCCTCCGTCTGCACTGTAGGCATGTGTGGCGGAGGTTTATTCCTCCATATCTTCCTCCCCCTCTTCTTCCTCAAATTCACCCTCCTCCTCTGCAGTTGCATCCTGAAATGCAAGAGGGCAGTGTTGACGCGATGGCGACGAAGGAAAAAAGGGTGTGATTAAGAGAAGATGCTTGCATGATCACCTGGTTGCCTGTGTCTCAAAATGACCGGAAATTTGTAGTGGACTGATCAATAGAGCCAATTACAGCTCACCGGGACAATACCGCCCGATTTACCACCTCCTCACATGCCAGGGGCCGTCAGTGCCTGTCAGTGTGTACCACAGGCTGGGGGAACATGTGACCAGGCAAGCACTTCTGGCAAACATAAAGAAACCATGTCAGCAGGAGTGATGTCAGCTGTGAGATGAGCTGGGGAGAGATCAGGTTTCACCGTGGCAACAACGTCACACACAACAGTTATGTCTATCTCTACAACAGCCGGGGAGTCTACAGGGGAGTGAGCGGTTTACTCCTCCTCCCCTTCCTGGTCCTCCTCTTCATCCTCATCGTACTCATCCTCTGCGGGAGCGTCCTGAAATATCAATGTTTACATCAGTCGTGTAAAGGTCACCAAACATCGTTGTCCGTTTCCTATAGTTACAAAAGTCATGAACTATAAACTCTTCAAAGGTATCAGAATGTCTACAAAAACAGCAGTGCATTTTTATCTTATCTTGGGTTGTGTGAAGTCTGTGATACCCTCCGTGACCGGGTAGTCAAATTGTACCTAAAACCAATGGCTAAAATTTACTTAAATGTCAACTAAAGCATAAATGGTGAGTCCTGTTAGATTTAAATGGTAAACATAATACAAACAATGTATACAATACTTGATACAACAATATGGATATACATAACCTATATAAGGAGAGAAACCGAGTAGAAGCAGATTTGTGTGTGTCCTGCCGTCCAACTGACCTGGTACTGCTGGTACTCGGACACCAGGTCGTTCATGTTGGACTCGGCCTCGGTGAACTCCATCTCGTCCATGCCCTCGCCGGTGTACCAGTGGAGGAAAGCCTTGCGGCGGAACATGGCTGTGAACTGCTCGGAGATGCGCTTGAACAGCTCCTGCAGGGGAAGAGTTGAAGCCTCGGTAAGTTATTGAGCAACTAACGCGTTAACAGTGAGGTCACATACGTCGTAGGCCGTTGTTCTATTTTATTGCGGTGGAATTTTCATGCAAGCTGTGACAGAAATGTCGGCAAGGATCTATGGCAGCATTTTCCATAACAACACAGCTGAATTTTAATTGACACATCCCAAGAATGCCCTCAGTTTGACATCGTGCGACGATTGTACGGTCGACGTATATGATAGGAGCTAAGCAAGTGAAGGAACACAATTCGCTTGGGCTTCGAATGCTCAATGGCGATATGCGCAGACCTCAACAGAGAAAACCTTACCTGGATGGCAGTGCTGTTTCCGACGAAGGTGGCCGCCATCTTGAGCCCTCGTGGCGGGATGTCGCACACGGCGGTCTTGACGTTGTTCGGGATCCATTCGACAAAGTAGCTGGAATTCTTGTTCTGTACGTTCAGCATCTGCTCGTCAACCTAGTGGGACAGAAGGCAACCGGCTTAAAACTGGCGGTGGGACAACAGCTTGTTTTAACTGCTTAAAGTCCGATGTGCTGCCAACTGGTTTTTGAACTTGCTCAAGTCCGTTTTAGCAATGTCAGTCTATAAGTACTGAAGATTAATATTCGAGTGTAAAGGCAATGACGTTGAACCATCCGCAGTCCCTTGTAACGGTATCTTACCTCCTTCATGGACATGCGTCCCCGGAACATGGTGGCCACGGTGAGGTAGCGGCCGTGGCGGGGGTCGCAGGCCGCCATCATGTTCTTGGCGTCGAACATCTGCTGGGTGAGCTCGGGCACGGTCAGCGCGCGGTACTGCTGGCTGCCTCGGGAGGTGAGCGGGGCGAAGCCCGGCATGAAGAAGTGGAGACGCGGGAACGGCACCATGTTCACGGCCAGCTTACGCAGGTCGGCGTTCAGCTGAGGAGGGAGAATGGAGAAACTGTGAGCCGACTGCACAGTCTGAGACAACTTCCCAAGCCACTTTCCATGGTACTGATCGACCTTCCATTGCACTTTCCATGGTACTGATACAACTTTCCATGGCACTTGTCATGGTACTGATACAACTTTTCATGGTACTGATACAACTGTCCATGGTACTAATACAACTTTCCATGGGACTGATACAACTTTCCATGGTACTGATACAACTTCCATGGAACTTGTCATGGTACTGATACAACTTTTCATGGCACTTTTAATGGTACTGATACAACTTTCCATGGCACTTGTCATGGTACTGATACAACTTTTCATGGTACTGATACAACTTTCCATGGAACTTTTCATGGTACTGACACAACTTTTTATGGCACTTTCCATGGTACTGATACAACTTTCCATGGTACTTTCCACGGGACTGATACAACTTTCCTTTACACTTTCCATGGTACTGATACAACTTTCCATGGAACTTTCATGGTACTGACACAACTTTCCATGGCACTGTCCATGGTACTGAAGCAGCCTTCCTGTTATGATCAGTCCCCATGAGGAGTCTTACCTGTCCGGGGAAGCGCAGGCAGGTGGTGACCCCGCTCATTGTGGCTGACACCAGGTGGTTCAGGTCACCGTAGGTGGGCGTGGTCAGCTTCAACGTGCGGAAACAGATGTCGTACAGAGCCTCGTTGTCGATACAGTAGGTCTCGTCCGTGTTCTCGACCAGCTGATGGACGGACAGAGTCGCGTTGTAGGGCTCCACCACCGTGTCCGACACCTGCAGGCACGCGGAATGGAATGATTTGTCAAACGAATTTTCATACCAGACCAGACAACCGAGTACAGTCACACCTATACAAGTGACAGCGTCTACAAGGCCTAAGTGACCACTTTTTGGCAGTTCCTTAAGAATTCTCTCCAATTGACGACAAGCATTAAGAATCATGTCTATATTGACCATCTAGCTATCCAAATAGACCAGATTTTTCGTGTTCTTGAGCCATTTTGACTGTTGTGTGCGACTCCAAATTTGGAACGTTGAACTTTATATAAAAACGGGGACGATTAAAAGAATGGGCACTTCGTCCAATGACAAAATCTTATGGTTCAGAGTTGTGCTTACTTTCGGTGAAGGCACGACGGAGAATGTGTTCATGATCCTGTCGGGGTACTCCTCCCGGATCTTGGAGATGAGGAGGGTGCCCATGCCGGAGCCGGTGCCGCCGCCCAGGGAGTGGGTCAGCTGGAAGCCCTGCAGGCAGTCACAGCTCTCGGACTCTTTGCGCACCACGTCCAGTACGGAGTCCACCAGCTCCGCCCCCTCCGTGTAGTGGCCCTTGGCCCAGTTGTTCCCTGCACCGCTCTGACCTGGGAACAGTAGGTAAGGGCTACATCAGTCTTTCTGCAGTTCACACGGTCACCGGAAAGGGGAGCGTTTGGTTATGTACGTACATCACTTTACTTCACTTTACACATGACGCGTTTGTAGTCGAGTCTGTAATCTTAACACAGACGGATGGACGTTCTACCCATTTTTGCTTCGTAAAACATGCTTTAAGGACTAACCAAAAGGGTATTAGCGTGGTTGTAAAAAAAATACAAGAAAATAGGTCTGCATTTTCTGTCAATATTTTCTGAATTGTTGATGAGAGGTTTCTATTTTTTCTCCCACCTCTCCTCTTCAATTCATTTTCGATAAGGACAGTAAACCACTTTGTTCCGGTCGATATGTTTATGATATAATTTCGCCACCGATAATCTGTTCTCCTACGATTATGTCCGCCCCATTTACAAAATAGGGCAGTTTTGAAGGCACAAGTGATAGATATTAGTAACTCGATCCATTCTATGCGGCCCCGCCCACCTCCATCAAAACGTAAAAATGTAAAAGGAACATAAAACCGCAAATATTTGACGTTGGACTGCAAAATGTGATGGTCAGTCAGGATCGGTCTATTCGTATTAAGATGTAAGTCACACCGCTGACTGTTTCGTGACACCCTAGTCGCCATGCCAGTCACGAACAGCCCACGGTTTCACGGCCCCCTCAGCCCGACAATTCGGTCGGAACGTCTGCCGCCGTGAACGGCTGCGCAGCTCCGCGGAATAAATTGCTGCAATCAGTGTAGGAGCAGACAAGTTACATATGTCAGAACTCGGCCGTAAAATTGGAGATTCGATTTACCGCGCTCTAGTTCCATTAAAACGGGTGGATTAACATGGGGACGGAGTACTGCATGTCTTTGTTGATTTGAATATAAAGATCGCTTCATCTGATTTGTACAAAAAAGAGAGGGAAGAAGAGGAAATGGTGGAAATTTTTGCTACAAAATAGCACATGACCTGTGCGTGATTTTTCTTTTCTCGTTCAGCATTTTCCTTGCAAATCTAGTGTAGGATTTATTTCTTGTCCCTAAAAAGGTTCCAGATTAACGTCTTTCATTCCTACCCTCCATATGTCCTGGACAGCGCGAGATTGTGTAATTCGTCCCTCATGTTTTATGCGTGGCACTGATCCCACTATGATGGATGAATTCGTTCTAAAGTCCCCACTATTAATCGATTTTGCGACGAATAGCTGAGCAAATTAAGTAATTTCAGCGTTGTTTCTTTACTCTGTAGTCCTAGCAACAATCAATTCAGCTGGACTGATTCCGTGCGACGCGGTGTGGGTATAGATTTCTGGACAGTCGTCCTGTTTAGAAGTGATCTTTATTGATGTCCACTTCTTCAGCAGATTTACCCTGGGGACTAGCTAAGCACTTTCCTGGGACAGATAACGCACCAGGAAAGGCATTCGGATTGTGCTGGAGTGTGCTGAATGCTAAATGAAATAGAATTCGTCAGTCCAATAATGACCCTTTGAAGGGTGTGAAAATGTTGAGGAAAAATGTTCAATAGACCGATCCTGTAGCCCGCTCAATGTCGATCGAAACATACAGAGACTAAACAAAACTGTAGGAATGAAAAAAAATGGACCGACCTAATGGCAGTTCCTTATTGATTGCACTGTTAATTTAGAAGGGCAGCCAGTGTCGGTCTATCGTCCAAATGGACTGACTACAAATGACCCAATGATTGTTACTTGGGCGAAGCAAAATGTTCCCAGGAAGACTAAATTCATACTATCAAGAATCTTTATCTATCCTCATAAATGGACCTGATAGATATAAAATACTTATTTATGTATCTAAATGCCGCGATGCATTTCAAGTACGAATTCAAGTTGAAAACTTAATAATTCTGACAATTCTTTTAGTCGCTTTTAGCAAGTCTTGTCTTTTCTCGCCATCGCTGTTAAAGGTGCAGTTGGAACATCAGCAGTGACCACGCCCCACCGCGGTGCAGTGCAGTGCTGCTGGAGGATGTGAAGTACCGGTTACCAGCCGTGAGAACTGGATGTGATTCCGATGGACTGGCGGCTAATTGCGCCCGCGGTGTCAGCCGTGCTGGCTCTACATTTTAACAAAATCGATCAGAGAAAGAGTGACTCAGCAGCGTGAGTCATAGCGGGACCTCATGAGGAACGGAGACACATTTATGACAGCTGCTTTGTGTCCTATTAAAGGTTAGGAGCTGTCTGGGGAGGACGTGTGGCAATAAAAAGACGTGTTGCTATGGATATTGTGTTTGCGCCATTCGGAAACAGACCTTTAAAGGTTATAAGTTAGTCATCATATATTTGGGTGTGGCGGATTTCTAGTGGCTGAGTGACGTTAAGTTTGCAGCTAACGGACACTAAAATGTGATTCCAAAGAATCATGACTTAATGGTGATTAATGGGAAGGTGATTTGCACGACAGAATAGCCATATGGAAGAACGCCGGGCCGTTTAGCGTCAGTTTATGTAGATAATGATCAGTAATGTCCGCTGCGGCGCCAGCAGACGTAACGTCACCGCGCACTGTCCCTGGTGGAATCAGACATGTGTAATGTTGTGGGCAAGGCTGACGTTATCTCACACACCGAGCTCAAAATACACCGCCAGATGGTCTAGAGCTGCCCAGAGCCTTTTGAGAGAATAAATACGTGCCACTGTGTTTTGTTCGATGTGTCAACTTAGTGGTTGATGAGGCTTAGAACGTATAATGAAGAAGTGTAAAATATATGTGAAATTGTTGTGATGTCTCATTTAGACATGAGAGACCAGGACTACCCATACGTACCGAAGACGAAGTTGTCTGGGCGGAAGATCTGTCCGAAGGGTCCTGACCGTACGGAGTCCATGGTGCCGGGTTCCAGGTCGACCAGGATGGCGCGGGGCACGTACTTGCCACCTGGGGGGGAACAACAAACAGGGGTTGTTTTGTTTATTCTTTTTAATATTCATTCACATTGTCTTATGTCGTATAGATAATACAATTGACTATACCCTGACTACATGTAGATATTTCAAACAACTCTGTTTCTTCTTTTTTGCGTGTTTTTTTTCTTTACTTCAAATAATATCTTGCCATTGGGACTCATTAGAGTAACAATGACATCCTAAGGGCACATGCTGCTTAGGAAAGGTCTATTCACCTTTTGTGAAGTACCATGATAAACCCAACTTTTCTTGCACGTACTGTCTTCTGACACTACTGAATCGATAGGAGGTGTTTCAGAATCACATCTTGGCAATCGCTACGCAATATAGAAGGTACAACATGAATTATAGATGAGAAGTCACTTGAGTAACAGTGGATAAAATTAGCCAGACGCCCGGATTTCCCGGGAGAACTAGACCGCATCACCGCCACCTGAATCATTCCGCGGCTCGTGGCACGGTGGCCTCGTGCAGAAAATTACTACGCTTGAGTTTTGTACTTCCAATCAGAATGTGAAAACTTCACAAAGCTAAGTCCATGTGGTAGCAGCACAGTAAATTCTGCATGGATCTGTGCGCTAAAACGGTATTTTAACGACTTAAGTAAAGGTGCTTTATTCATACGATGGAATCACAAAATCTGTTCTACCAGATTTTGGACATATTCAGACTCCTTTACTTTATACGGCGCTTTATCTGATTTTCTATAATTTGACGCTAACTCCTATATCTGTTTCATCGTGAATCTAGAATTGTAGTCATAGTTCGATACATATGTCGTCCATGTGCGCTCTTTTAGCGTCCGCCGTTATGTGTTACCTTTCCTGAAGACATTATGGCAGACTTCGTCAAACGACATCACTCAACATGCATTAGCTCGCTATATTTCTCAAGCGTAGCTTCCTTAGATATGACGGACTGTTCATTCGCGTCACGGACAGTTCCGGACACTTGCCTTGGAAAGTTGCAATTACGTGCATGGGCGAAATCAGGACGCCCGTTCCAGCTTAGACCGATCCTGACTGTCCATCTCAATTAGTAGTTCAATCAATGATGGTGTGGCAATTAACTGTTGGACCAATGGGAGAATATCCGTCAGATAAATTTCGTTTCTACATTTTGACAAGAGGTGGGCAGGGCAATAGGATCGGTCTACTCTGGTTACTGTGTTGGAGACCTCACGTATATAACGGCGTTATATCTTCAGTTCCATTATGGAAAGCGCCACGCAACATAACTATGGATGTCTGGTGATAAAGGGTCTTCTGTGAACACTTGTCTACATATGTAGACTTCAATAGCTACATTACATGGTGCTGCTATTTCACAAAACACTCACGAACTAAAACGGTCCAAATCGATAGTCTAACCCAATCCATCCGCGAGCTGTCCATTGCGTTAATTACTTCACGTTTTTGATGAATCTAATGTGACAATCAATGTGCATTCAATCAGGACGTTCCGTAATTTTCCTGATGGAGAAAAAGCGTGCAGTAATCAGTTTATCCACACTTCAGTCGTGACGAAAGTTTTAAGTCTGATATGCCACTTTCCGAGAACAATTAACATAATGTAAGTTCCGGACGAGAAAATAATAGTCAGCAGCTCGACGATGAGTGCGAATCAAACCAAGTCCTTGGACCAACCACCAACCAGGAGACACATCAACTAGAATGTCGTTATGATAGTACCCGTCAATAGACCAATCCTGGCTGCCTTCATACTTAGCATTTCAACCAATGACAGAATGGCAATTAGCAGTTCAACCAATGAGAGAGTGACTGTATGTCTTTTTGCATGTTCAGTTGCATTTCTGAAGTTTTGACGGACCTTGTCGGGGCTATGGAATCGGTCTATTACACGGGCACTGGGTCAACCTCGCGAAAGGCTACGCTAATAACTGGGTTAGTCGGCCGTACCAAACTACCGACTGACGCTGCACTTCTGCCAGGCGGGGACATTAGCGCACTTCTGTCTTATCGCATCCATCAATTCCGTCCCGATCATCGACACCTATTGTCGCTGGGGAAATGATCAGAACCATTTCCGGACCTCCATAAATCTTAATAAGCAACTCTAGATCTGCTTTCACCCTGGGGATGCTAAACATTCAGGCGAGCTGCTTGTGTCGTCCTTCTGCTTATACAAGGATTAGAAGTGACATGCTGTATGCCATTCGGAGTATGCCGAATAAACTACGTTCGTGACTTACATGTACACTACACAAATTGCTTTCCATTCCGATTGATTGAGTGGCTTGGCTGTCAATAATGAAGTGTTGAACAATAGCAGTTCTAGAAGTATCATATATATATTATATAATCACTAGTAATGTGATCCCCGTGTATTCCGGAGAATCGTTTGTACAACTTTTGAAAGTTAATGATCTTATCATCAATACCATTACAGTGTACATATATATTCATAATATATGTGTACAGATACGTTTTCGTTGGGCTAAAAATTTGTATTTAACTAGCTTGCCACTATATACAATTCGTATACTACGATCATGCTACCCATGAATGCGGATCATTGCTGTTTGTTTGTTTGTTTATCCTCCTCACCAGTAGCTTCATTGTAGTAAACATTGATCCTCTCGAGCTGCAGGTCTGAGTCTCCGTGGTACGTGCCGGTGGGGTCGATGCCGTGCTCGTCTGAGATCACCTCCCAGAACTGAAACACAAACGGCGGGAACGTAAGGACCAATGGAGGCATGGCAATTAGCGGCTGCCCACCAATGAGGGAGCGGCTGCGTTTTTTGCATGTTTTTATTGCAATTCTGCGTTTTGAGGGAAGTGGGCAATGCTATGGGATCATTTGGAAAGTGCCCTTTTCCTCCCGGTTATGTGATGGATGAAAGTGGGCAGAAAAACGCACACCATTAGAAATTGTCATAAAATATTGCATAAAGACGTCCAACACTGGCCGGTGCCATACATCTGCTTGGACTTGGAGATTAGTTTTAAGGGCCGCTATATACCCTCCGCCCAGGTCTTTCTCAAGTCAATACAACACACACACACACACACACACATCATTATTCCTCGTCCGCGAATATGTTTAACAGATAGATGCACCACGTCCCCTTGAACGCCATGAAGTGGACGCTCCCTCACTAATGACGCGGACACGACAGCTGACCAGTCTGGGAATGGCCTGCAGTAATCCGCCGGCCAGACGGAGTACTCCTCCTGAATCACTCACACAAACCGCGCGCCCGATTTAGCCGGCATCGATCGAGTTACATTTGATTCATCTGTCTGATGGCCTGCTCCTGGCGACCTGACAATACTTTACGTTCTCTTCCAAATTTGCCAAGTCTTCTTACTCTAATCCCAATACATCCGAGCGCCTTGCTAGTGATTCCTAGCGTTACATTGCAGTACATTAGAACGCAATACTACCTTTACTGTCAAAAAACGCAAACGTTTAAAGTTTAACTGTATGGAGCCTGAAAAACCAGAAGGATTTCGGCGTACAGGTACAGGTACAGGGCAGATCAACGGCGTCACGATGTTACATGTGGCTGCAATGTCAGACTTTTCACTTAAAGTTTATTCTTCCGCTCCGTATAGGCACGTCTGGGCTTCTCACCCAACATATGTACGACACCAAACCCCTGTTACCAAGGTTAGCCCTACATAGCCTCTTCACCAGGCTCTACGAGTTGGGCTTTTGGGGGGGGGGTATTATCATGACTGTTGGGGCATATCAGTTCTCAGTACTCGGCGCCACCTCCACAGAGAACTGATATGCCATCAATTTTAACAAAAACACTTCATTAGCCCCAACATACACAACAACAAAAAAAGCCCTCGACTCGTAGAACCTGCTAAGGAGCGGTACATCTGCGCAGAACTCATATTTCAGGCAATTCGAGGCCACCCGTGGAGTTTCTGTGCCCTGTAAACTGAAGATTGTACAGCAGTCCAACAGTCCAATTTCAGAGGTGACATCAGTGGACCATGTTATGGTCTCGGCTAGCAGGTGTTCGCATCGGGTTCATTTGCCAGCACATATGCGGCAATTAATCCATTCTTTAAATTAAAAAATGTGTTTTTGATGAATTGATAGTAGAGGATATACTATAATAGGCAACATCTGTACATATCATTTGATATCATATATTAGGGGCATACAAGGAATACAAGGCATAAAAGGGTAATGTGAGTGTGAGAATTCAGAACAAATTACACCAGGGTATAATAGCAACAAATGCAAAGGGACGTTAGAAGATAACAACAGGCAATAATAATGAAACACCATAATATATCATCTAAGCGTAATTTTGCATCGAGATGTTCTCACACCGCACAAACGGGATGGGCCTTGCTCTCATATCCGCGCCGGCATATTCATACGTTGAATATCAACAAGATTATCAAGGAATTTGCATTGTAAACGAATCACGTCAAAAAAAGGAAGCCAGATGATCTCCTTGGGGATCGTCTCAGACAATAAAAAGAATGACGACATGATTTCTGTTTGCGGGTGGGGATCAGTGTGATTAAATTTTCAGCGAGCGGGATGTCTCTTGTCTGAATACGGATCAGACCCGCGGGAAATCAGGGCGGAATAAGTCATCATCACTGGGGCTTTTCTCTGAAAGGGCGCATTTCTCTTCACTCTGGCAACCTGATACCAATCTTCACTAAAAATCCAGATAATAGAAAATGAAAGGAAAACAGAAATGGTTTACAATCAGATCAAAGCGGCGATATCGATAAGTGAATGAATGAGAGGCATTTATTGCAGGACATGTTGATAAAGCAGTTAATGGTACGGACACAATTGAAAGTGTGGTATCTTATTACATCTACAGTGGCTAATGTATACTAGTATGAACAGCTTCAACCTTTTCTCGCCTCTTAGCTGGAACAGATGGGATCTGGTTTATCTATGGTTGTATAATGAATTCTCATTTCTATTTGCTATTTGAGTATCAATGTGCACTGCGTTCTGACAGGAAATGTTCTTCCTGTGGACGGTGATAGCCTGGTACAATCAGCAGCCTTGTCCAACTTTGGTCCGCTTCCCAATGTTCCCAACCCCTGGCAGGGCCAATGCTGGATACGAGGCTAGTGTTGTTGTCACTCACTAGTATCCATCTTAACTACATCACAGGAAACACCTGTTTCCTCGGCAAAAGAGGATAGATCGAGAAAACAAAAACAATGGACAAACATGAATTTGTAGCGTTAAATAGCTGACCATGCAATCACGCATGCGCAACGACGTCGTCAACCAGTCGTTGGGGGAGGGGGCGTCCGCCGGCCAGGTGGGCGTGGCTGCTGGAAGCGGCACACGTCAGTCGCGTGCAGCAAAACCGACACAACCACGGTAATCAGTTTCATATCATATGTATGTCTCCTTACTCATTTTCACGGCCTTCAAAGTAAGTGGTACTCTGCCATACGTCTGGATTACCGACCTACATGCGATCAAGGAAAAGGACAGATCCCCAAAACGACCCAACATCACACGCCCGTCCGTAGATTCATCACTTCGGATTCCCGGGAACACCTGCCGTGATTGCTCCAGTACCTGTTGCTGGAGATTAGAGGATGTTCACAAACACAGTAGCGGTTGTTACCCGAGGGACTGCGAAGCGACAAACAAAACAGCGGCATGTATGCGTACATCGGTCCCCTTGGGCTGGGCATTTATCGTCATAGTTCCCATGAATACAAATAGAGTTGTACTGGAGTAAATCGATTGATTTGGAGATATACGATGCTGGACTTTGTGCCACACATATATATGGTGTAATAAATGCTGAGCATAAATGCCATGAGCAGATGTGGGGTTTAGCTCTGTAACAGGAGTAGATGATATTTACGAGTAGCAAGTGCCGACATGGATTATCTATCTGGGTCGCTGTCGGGATAAACCTTTCATTCGCTCAAAATCTAAAGCGCAGGTCACAGAAAGTCCTGATTTCCTTTATAAATCATTGGACCAACAAAAGAGAGCCAGTTCAGAGCATGGAGGATACCTCCTGAAGCTCCCGTGAACCGCTGCCTGTCGCCCGGTTGATTTATCGACTTAGGGTCATGTACGGAACAATTCACGCATTTTGTAACATCGCGCTACAATTCACGGCGGCAAGAGGCCAGCTGCAATCTAAACAGTCTAAACGTCATATGTGTATCGTTGTCAGAGTCGACGTCCTAGTAGGCCAACTCAAATATAACGTCTTGGTGATATGGTCGCTTTTTTTGCCGCTAACATTCTATATCGGATACGCGGATATGAGAAAACTGATTATTAAAAACTGATAAACAATATCAGATAAAATGCAGTCCGCGACGAATAAAAACGGCAGATATCACAACGTTGACAGGAGACAGCTATGGAGGCTAGCCAAACCCAATACAACTGTCTGACAAGTTGACTGCTAGTACTATACGATCATAGTGACACAAATCTCAGAATAGGAGCAATACAGAAAGCCCCAGGGGCGCGCGCAATGAATGTGGGCCCCTCAGTTGGCCAAAGAAAAAATGCGCCGTTAGGCCTAACAGGGGATGATGTTGCACAGTCTCCATTCTTCTAAAAGAGGATGATTTGGTCGATACTATCGCATCATTGTCCGGGTACGTTGACCCCGTTGCTTGCCGGATTTGTATTTCCCTTCCTCATGCAGACGGCATTTGAATAATTCTAGACTTCCGCGCATTACACTGGGGCAGGGTGGGCGGGATCATACGGGACGGGTGAGGTGATGATAACAAGTTTAACAACATTGCGAAAATATTAATATTACCATCATATTTTTTCGATTATAGAATTCTGTACAAGCACAAAAGGTGTATGCACATTGGGTTCAAAGTCTGGAGTGCAGATATCACAGAATGCACGACCCACCCGGCATTCACTGGCCTCCAATCAATTCAATGGCCACAGCTGTCGCTGAGCTTCGCATAGCATATCTCACGGCAAACACATGTTATAGCAATAACAAACCTACCTTTGCCCCGATCTGGTTGCCGCACTGGCCGGCCTGGATGTGGACGATCTCACGCATGTTTGTGGCGGTTGTGGATTATTTATTGACGACGGAAAAAAAACTTGGTCCTCTTTTCCTCCCGCGCTTCTGTCGAATGCACGTCTGTCCGCCGGCTGTTCCGCCTATTTATCGTGGTGCTACGCCCGCGTGACGTCATTGGGCAGGCCATCAGAAAATAGGCCGCCCGGTTACTCCAGAATTTCAAATAAATTATCAAAAATTTTTCATTGAAAAACACAAGATAGTACACATACATCCTCTTTTGTATAGATGTATGGAATTTAACTGTTAAAAAGGAACCAATTTTGTTGTTATAACTGCATGTAATAGAAGGGAGGGGGATGCCTCGGAAGGATAAAAGCTTCAGTGAGGCAGTAATATGGTCTAAGCGCAGACGAACCAATCAGCGACCGGGAAGATGACATCATTATTGATTGGGTCATCCTTGCTCATATAGTGCCTACTGAGGGGCATTTCATTTATCAGCGATGTGGTGCATGGAATCATGTACTTGTAGCTACCACTAGTATGGTCAAATTTGTCAAATATAGGTGAAACGGATCGGAGGCCTTACGCTAAAGATAAATCTGTATAGTCTGAACATCTAGGCCATTAGTCAAGAAATATGTTTTAATATACGTAAAGTCTTCAACTTATAAAGCAAGTACATTTAATATCGATGCAGCCGGTGATATACTGGGATAAGCGTGATCAACATATATTATCATTAGCATATGAGAATATATGAAAAACAAAGACATGAATATATTAACCCTACATAGCTCTTGTCAGAATGGATTATCCTAACTTGAGATCTAACGTTACCATTCGGAAAATTGGGTTATGTGGCTGATGTACTTTGTCTGCATCAATACTGATTCTGAAATAGGAAATAGTTTTACCATATGTGCCATCAATTCTTATTTTTTAATAGATTTTAATTCTGCATCATTGGAAACGAGTATATACTTTTACTCCAAGCAATTGGGAGACGCGATTGGTCAGCATTCTTACTTTTTCAGTCCACTCATGGTATTTTAAACCAACTTATGTGACCCATTGTTAGTACTACACAAACGGTGGTAAGAGAAAGAGGGTAGATTTCTAACGGAGGCGTGAGCCGCGTGACCCAGTGACAATTCCTCGGGAGATCTAGGTCTCTGGTGCACAGATATCTGAATATTCCCACGAGGGTGTGTCTACAGAATACGTACGGTGGTTGAGGAAAATTTATTCTTCTGAAATTCTAAATTCATCTACATAGATGAAACTTGGATGGATGCCAGGGCCAGATGCATGTATAAAGAGAGGACTACTCTCCTGCTTTTTTCATGAAAATATATGATTCATTATTGAAAGGCTAATCCCATTAATAATCAGGTTCTGCTGGTACCAATTGCCATACCAGGCTGACGTATTGAAGGGCGGACCAAGAAGGGACATGATGGGTACTTGTGTAAAAATGTTCCATTTTCTGTACCGAGACGTGGCAGTACTTAAGTGTTCCCTCACTGAGTCATCTATTTGCAGATCACGTACTGAAGACTGCAATATCGCCCCGCTCACGTAATAAATCAGTCTCCAATAAGATTTCTCACGGGTCGGAGCCAGGGAAGAATTTCTGCCAACATGAATAATTTTGCATCAGGAGTTGGTCGATTAGACCCGCGGGACCTAGCCTGGCCGGAAAATTATTCATCCAATTTTGACCACTTGCTACTAGTAATATCTCTCAGGCCCGAGAGGAGTCTGGCGGAGACTGGCGATAAATGGATCTTCTTGCCTTTTCGCTCGGTCCCCATATTAGTCCGGTTGCCAAACCCCCGATTTTTGGAGAACCTTGCAATGCGGTCCATACAAAGTTTTTTTTTTGTTTCTATATCTCTGAGGTGTGCTCTTTCAGAATCTGAATGATGCCACTCTGTCATCCTTGGGCAATTCGCACAATATGCAAATTAAGGTGGCCATTACTGAAAATCCAGTTTTCGTCGATATCTCAGTAACTACTCATGGTATCAGAATAATTTTGGTGTCTATCCCCATCTTTTGAGGGATAACGGATTAAATCAAGCCATTTCAGTAAAGATAGAACCATTATTTTTTGCTAAATATGCAAATTTGGGTGGCAATATGCAAATTAGGGCGGCCATTACTGAAAATCTGTTTTTCGTCAAGATCTCAGGAACTACTCATGGTATCAGAATAATTTTGGTGTCTATCCCCATGTTTTGAGGGATAACGAATTAAATTAAGCCATTTCAGTAAAGATAGAACCATTATTTTTTGCTACATATGCAAATTTGGGCCTTGTCTGTTATTGACGCACCTGGCTGCCAGCAAGGAGGGGTCCTAATTCCGACCCATGTTCCATGCAAACGCACATGCCTTGGTATAGTTTATCTGACCCAAAACCTGTTCAATATTGAAAGACAAGTTTACCTAAGTCTAGATGGCAGACGTCTTCTTGCATGAAACGCCGCTTGCGTATGATTGTAGACACTGGCTGTTGGTTAGCTCTGGCTCATATATCTGTGTTGGGTATGAAGTCCTGTCGTCTGATGCTTATTTATAAGATCTTCCTCACGCATTCACTATCAGAAGCATGCAGTGATTCCAGTCTCTTTTCTCTTTTCTTGGCTGATTTCCACATAGTAGGTTTCAAAGTCAAGCTGGTTGAAGGCTGCTGAGGCCTTTCCAAGTCTACAGTCTAGCTCATTGTCCATCTGTCCTTTGTTGTTGGTGGAGCTCCCAAGGTAGGTGAAGTTCTCCGCCACTTTCAATTTGTTCTCGTCAATGGTCACACTTCTAAGAGGAGCGTGTGTCCCTATCAGCATGTTAATTGATGGCCCTGATGCTAAGCCCAATGCTGTCTGAAGACGGACTATGTTGGTCACTAGGGGTTGGAGATCTCTGGCGTTTTCCGCTATGTCGTCTGTAAAGTCAAGGTCGGCAAACTTTGTCTCTGGAACCCACTTTACCCCCGGCCCTTTCTCCTGTTGCTTCCCAAGTACCCAGTCGATAGCCACGGGAAAGAGGATCTGTGACAGGACACAACCTTGGAGGATCCGTCTTCAAACCACCAGCTGTATCTAGATTCCTTCAACCGTCCGTACACAACACGTCGAGTTTCAGTATATCTGTTTAACTGCACACATAAGTTTACTTGACAGTCCATAACTGTACACGATAAAGAGGGACTTTAGATGCTATCAAACGCCTTGCAGAAATAAATGAATCTGATAGCTATAATTAAAAGGGGTTTGCAGTTCAGCACATTTCCTCCACCGCAGGGTGAAGATCTGCTCAGCACAGGATCTCTTTGAGCGAAAGCTAGCTTGTTGCTCGCAGCTCCCAGAAGACTTTGCCTACTGCATCTCTCATGTGGTTCAGGAGGCATTTGGCATACACCTTCACTGGTATAAAAAAGAATTGTCACTCCCCTTAAGTTATCACATTCATTCAGGTTTCCCTTCTTTGGAATATACACTTTAAGCCTAATGGTATGTCACAATTCAAGAAAGGGGCCCGCTCGGCTCGTTTTTGGCCTGTGTTTTGGCACTACCGAATTCGGAACGGGACATGGAAGGCAATAGGCGGGGTTCCCGACGGCTGCCGGCCTATTTTTTTGGTCCCGCGACGTCGCCAAATTGATTTGACTCAACTTAAAGTCACTTCAAGCCCCGGCGGGCAAGGTACGCCGAAGCGACCCCGTAACCTCACCGGACCGAACCGTAACCTAGCCGCCGGGTCATGCACAGGCACCTGTCCAAGATTATGAAGTCACGTGTGTTGTTCTGTGCTTGAATTGTTCAGAAGAAGGTAGTTATAGACAATATAGAGGGTAATGTGCTGTTCTCGACATAGTTACATCATCAGTCAGTCATAGTGACCATACACGGGTCTGCGCATCAACCAGCAGGGCCGAACCCACCATACCAGCCACAGGCGTACCAGCCTGGGACCTGCCAGGATCGCCCCTTGACCCCGCCAGGGACCCTGTAGCTACCCGGCCGGAATGCAAGAGCTAGTCGGCACCCTATTGCATCCCGCACAGGTCTGACAGAAGACTGCCTGTGCACCGGACGGGTCCCCAACAGAAACCGGTCGTCAAGGGGACCAAAATTTTGTGAATTTTACATAGAAGCCGCCTCAGCGCCCCGACAGGGAGCCGTAAAGGAAAATTCAATTGTGACCCTGACAGCCGGCGTACGCTCGGCTTCATGACGCCGGCCGGCGTCTACACCGAGAACATGCCGAGCAGGCCCCCGTTTCACATGTGACTCCAGCTGAACTACTGATCCGTTCTTCCAGTCCTCCAGCACTTCCCTGTGATCGCCGTTGAATGCCAGCTTTATTCCAGGGAAGGCGTACTAGGGAAGACGGCTATGGTTCTATTAAAGCGTTTGCGATGTACGGCGATCAGAAAAGCAT